AATTTAACTACTACTATGAATGAGACGAAAATGATTCCCCGTTCTATATTCGAAAAACGGAAGGTTTTTTAGATAATAGAGACTGGGCGAAAGTAACTAATCTAGTTGCAACGTTCGATAATTTTTTTTTAATTTGCTATTAAAACTCCGACTGAGATATCTTACATGTATTTTGTTAGACCTAATTAGTGCATACCCACCCAAAGAGAGAAAGCCGTAGGTAACTTGTTTATCGTATCTTTCGATTAAGCGTTCAATCAGCCTTTTACCAAAGTCGTAAATAGAAACCTGACCGAGGAGGTTACAAGAAAGTTCTACATTGCAAGTTTAATACTTTCTAAAGCTGGATTTACGTTTATCTGACGTGTCGTGACATGACGCGTCAGAACGGTATCGGTCGCAATCTGAGGGACGGCTTGTGCTGTGTATATGAAACCGATATCGTTCTGACGCGTTACGTGACGACACGTCAGACAAATGTAAATCCGGCTCTGTGTCATGTGACAAGTTCGTTTGTCGATAGAAACATTTTTTTTAAGATATAAGTGATGGGACCACAGACCAGATAACCAAATTGGCTATTTGGTCTGTGGATGGGATGAACAAGTCATACGCCTGATGGTAAACAACACGCCATAAGGAACCATCCTTTGTCCGAGACGTTTATCTACCTACTTAAGAAGTCAGTCGAAAATTAAGTAGCAAGTACTTTCATAGGAAATGAAACTATAATTTTGGATCTAAATAGCGTGCAATTGTGTTTTAAAACAAATTAAAGTTTTGGACCCTTCACAGGTCCCGTGGTCACGGCTAACTGTTTTTCACTATAGCTTTGTACACCGACCTATAATCAGCATTATGACTTTAAAAAAAGAACGTCATTTTTTTTTAATAAAAAAAAAACCTTTAAGTATTTTTTAAATTAAATTATCTAATATGACGCCACAAGTGCTCTACTGCCTCCTGATTGATTAAACTGGCCTAGAGGTCTTGCAACCGAGCTATAAACCTTTATATAAAAAATATTGGTTAAAATATAAGCGGCACTAGGCTTCCTCTTTTCTATGTCTTTGATTTTTGTTTTGTAACGTTTATGTGGCTCTCGTTTGTGTTTATTTTATTTACTCGTAGAAAAAGTGCTTATTGTATGCAATCATTACATAATTAGGTCTTAAAATCTCGGATCTAGGTATTAATTAGCTACAAACACAGTACTCAATTTGAATAACCCTCATTGTGAAACGATTGCATAAAATCTTAACTGCGTGTCATCTATGGAATTGTTTATTGAAGATTTCCAAAAAAATAACTGTAGTTCAAGGTCTGTAGCTGTCAACATAGCGATTAGATAACGGTATCGTAACTGCGTCGCAGCCTGTTCGTCCTGCATACTATTTTATATCGATCGTTTGATGCGCGTGCGCACCAGAACATGTGTAAGTCTGAGTGTACAATAAGATACGTAAATGATTGGAAATTGTGGTTTTCGAAGTTTAATAGTGAACAAATCTATTATTTATACACACATACACACTAGAATTTAAAAACAGAAGTCTTTCCGGCCGGATTCGAATCGACGTCTTCTAGCAAATCATGCCAGACGCTATGCCAACTAAGCCACGGAACGAACCAGCGAATCTCACGAATTTCTCTATGTGCTTGTTGTCAGATCTTTGTATTTGGTTTTCAATGATTTTTTGGCCGTAATAATTATAACAAACTAGTGGAGTAATTTTACAAAAAAATATTGAATATCAATCAATACAAATTTAGCATTTATTAACGTTATTCAAAGTTTTTAAGGAAACTCTACATTAGGCCTATCGTACATACAGTAATTTGTTTTCTTGAATGTTTTTGTTAGCCAAAAAAGCCTTTTTTTTTCGCAATTAGGTACATTATAATAGTTATAATTTTTCTGATAAGCTATTATAATCCTGCACTGTCTCGACACCGACGTGACAACTTTTATGCTTTAGGAACGCACTTCTCTTACTTTGAAAACAATGGAAGCATTATAAATTCAAATTACATTACAGTTCTATGTTATTCTAGAAAGTCAACATTCGCCTTCTTTTGTTTTTTTGGTCTTCAATATTTTATACTTATTCCAGTGACAACAATGTCCAACTTTATTAGCATGTATGCAGGTAGTAATGCATTGTTTATAATGTTTGTATACACGTCGCCGTGGTTCACGTAGTTCGCCGCTGTTGTAGCGAAACTCGGTTATCGTATCGATGACCTGCGGTCACTGCCAGCGACGGAACGGTCTCGAGGCATACATGCTCCATTGCCACCTACGATACGGGATAATAATTTATATTGACAGCATCTGACTCTTAACCTAATGGGAACTTACCATCGAGTATATAACCAGAAATAGACGAAATTGTCGGTGTTGTCAATTGTTTCACTTCAGCTACTAGTTTAACTTGAGCTTTGCTATAATGGACGATAATTGAAAAATTAGATATTTAATATTTAATTAACGATGAAATGTGATTCCGTTTGTTTTGTAATTAGTTGTTTTGCTGTTTTTTCCCACACCACCGAATGGAACGGCCCCCATTGTTAGAGATATTATCTTTATTACAATAAATACAGAATATTTTTGGAATATACGGAGACGTAAACACTGGTCAGTTGTTGGCGCTGTCTTATTTCAGTTTTCTAATTTGTGATTTCAGTGCAAACCCATTTGTCTGATGAGTTGCCAGGGATGGATGGTCCTTATTTCGTCTCTATTCCTGGTTATATATTATATACTCGATGGAGCTAACCTTCCTGTCACCTCAAATTTTGGTGGAAGCCATAGTCAATACGCCAAAATGTCGATCTCTTTAAGCGTTACATTTAAGTTTCACTATGGCTAATAAACAGGCACCTCAACTGTTTGCAAATAGTAGACGAGTTGTGCGTCCAAAAATCGATGCTCTAAGGTAATGTGGAATTAAAAAGAACAATAGAGTCTAATTGTAAGCGCGTTGTCAACAAGATAATATTATTTTTGGTAGTCATTACGCTATATTTAACGGATGATTAGAGTAAGTATCACTCGTAACTGTTTCTCTGCATATGTAGGGTCCGTCTGTAGTCCATATCGTGTGAACCGTTACAATGTGCCCGATTCGTCGAGTACTGGTTCGCGGGTGCACGGTAAAAGCGAGACGGGAATTCGACTCGCGCAGTCAGTGCCCAGTCTCTTGTCCATACGCACCATGCTGATCCTCGCGTGTATTTTCGCCGTCGCAGCTGCCGCGCCCGCTACATACGACCAGCGACAAGATGGCGATTTCAACGTGCGGGCTGACGTCCAGAATGTAGTGTTCCTTGTCGCTTACCCACAAAAACTAAGCGTGCCACCAGATCTCTTAGTCGGATTATTCAAGAATGCCAAACAAAATGAACCTGAATTGCAAGACAGAGCTGATATTCATGTCACGGAAGCTTTTGTCGAGCCGAGTACGCCGTATCATGTTGAGATAGGCGACACGAATTCTTATGATGGTGATGGGCGGGCGGTAGAAGTGGTGATTGCTGGTCGGCGGAGGATGGAAACTGAGGCACAGGAGGACACTCGCCCTGAAGCATCTGGAGAAGAGTATAAATTGATAGGTGCCACGGAGCAATGTGGGCCGGATAGGGAACGAGATCCTGTGACTTTGGGATGCCGAATGCGGTCACAACCCATTGAGGAATCGTCAGCGCCGGCGCAACCCGAAGAGAAACCTGCCGCGTCTGAGCAACCTGCACCGGAAGTGGTTCAAACTTCGTGAATTAATTAAACTGAACTCTGATCTCTGCCACGGACTCTATTACCTCTAAGTTAATTTATTTATGTTTCTAAACGCTGTTTTAAATTATTTGTATAAATATAACATAACTAAGCTTATTATCATTTTACTTTATAATATGACAAGATATAATATGTGTAGGTATAGTTGGCGAAATATTATTTGCACTCATTCGTCTTATTGCTGCAACTTTAGAGTACCATAGGACAAAAGAGTAAATCGTTTCACGCACGTGTCATCTGTATAGTGCAAACAACTAAAAACTGTTCCAATCCATTTTAAACAAAATGTAAACAAAACAGTTTGGGTTAATTGCTAAAACAATCACTCAATAAATCGAGTAAGTAACACTTTCACACACCTATTCACAAATACTTTGAGAATTTTGACTCACTCACTTTTTCCAACAATATTCATTTGAATAACATCGTAAAATCGTATTTGAAAAATGGTAGTCAAAAAGTGAGGTTCTTTTTTCATTAAAGAGGTATGAATAGTCCATGGTTGCATAGTGCTGTATGGAAAAAATCATTCAGTTCATTCAATTAAAGCTTTTGTAATCTATTAGTATATCGAAAATTTCGATCGCAATCGAACGAGTATCTAAGTGTTTGAAGGAGAATTTAAAATCAAGATTTCGGAAATTTTAAATATGCTTTTATAAGTTATGTAATGAAAACCGCTAGTATGACTCAATTAACCAAATCGATTCATTCAATTAATTATCTGATTTGTAGTTTGCAGTAAAATTGGCCATCACTAAATCATCTATTGTCGGGTCAGTGACTTGTTGTTTGTTTACTTTTTGTTTAAAATGGGTTGAAACGTGGTGTAGTTTAAATACTTTTATATACTTGTTGAATTAGTAAGAAACGAGTCGGCAGTCGGAATTTTACGAAGTACCTACTGTTAAAAGAAAAATCTGTTGAGTAAAGATATAATTGAAAACTAGAATTCAGAAAAAGCATTTAGCGCACCCATGACTGGTACGATGGACCAAGATTGTTAAATCCGTGTACACTTTAAGTAAAATAAGTGTTAATGGTTTTATTACTCTATTAAGGTAATAGAAAGGATAAGCCGCTCCAAAAGACAACGTTCAACGGTGCTAATAATATTTCTTCAACTATACTTACATACTGAAGCATTTACATATATATACAGGAAGCATTTATAGAGATTAACTGCCTCAGTGGCCGAACGGTTACCATACAGGTATGCCACGTAGAGGTCCCGGGTTCGATACCCGAACCGGGATAAATATTTGTATGGCCTACATTTATTTATCTTGTTAGACACCTAATGTAATTTATGGTTGTCTCCGTGTTTGTGCGTAACAGAGATTAAAGAATGATTCACATTAGACCGTGCCGGGCACGAGCCGTGTCCGAGTCATCAGAACCTCGATCGATCTTAAATTAGACTGAGTCAGTCAGTACGACGCGGTTGACGATCGAATTCGAACGTAGTGTCATATCATATTATGAATCACTGGGTAATTTCTTACGCACTCAATTAATTTTTCATCTTCCATTTTTTAAAAAAGAACACACTCGGACGAGGCGCGTACGAGGCGAGTGTTCACATTACAATGAGCCGAGGCAAGCCGGGCCGCATCCGAGGCTCGAACGAGCTTGGAAGCAGCTCGGGCGTACCTCGTTCGTGTCATGGACGCAGCACGTTGTAATGTGAATCACTTCATATAAAATATACGCAGCATTTCCAATCCGAGCATCGTACGTGGCTTGCCTCGCTCCCGGCATGGTATAATGTGAATAGTCCTTTAGTATTTTATGCAATTTTGTTAAAAACCAGCACAGCCTTTATGCACAGACTCTCACTCGCACTCACCACACCTCCACTTTGAACACGACTCTGAACAAAACAAGAAAATATACACTATCTGCTCTGACGGGTTTTATTAGACAATAAGTTGAAATATAGGTACAGGTAAAGTACAACAAAAGCTTAATTACTAGAAACTAAAACTAGGATTAAATTATATGAATAAAATTGGGTACCCGCGCCAAGGTGCCCAAGATGCTGGTACTATATATACTATGTACATAGTATGGAACATAATGAGTACATACAGATGATTTAAACGGTAGTCATAAAAAGTAAATTAAATAAAAAATTTGCATATTCAAAATATGAATATTACTGAGTTATTTACAAAGCTACCGAAAACTTTTGTGCAAATAAGAATACGAAAACAACCGAATAACATCCATAGCCATATATATTAGCGGTCTTTGGCAATCATGAGCGTCTTCCAAACGATGCTGCTACGACGACAGTGTTACGTCGCGTTACTAAAATTGTCCATAGACTCTAGACGAGTGTCGATCGTGATCGATCGGATCAAAATGATTCGAACAGCACCTGTGACCCGATAACCCGGGTTACTAGCTTCTAAATAACCAGATCATTTTAGAGTTTTATGGGTCATGCGCGGAATATTCGACTTTATCACTATAACTTTAGAGATTATTCAACAATTTACAATATTACTTTTGTCTCGTTCACTCTCACGTGAAGTCCCCACTCACGGTACGGTTAGCCTTCTCACTCTTCGTTTGGATCGAACATTTGCTCGATGGAACCTTCGTTCGATCGAACCAAAAAGTCAAGCTATCGATCAACGAGTCAACGGGTTAACGGGTTAACGGATCAATGAGTCTATGAATCATTCATCCTAATTGCTCCGTAGCGTAGTGTCCATTGCATAGTAATTTTGTAAGTTTAATGTGTTTTGACATGTTGTGTTTATTTATGAGTGCACTAGGTAATATAAAAATATTAATGAATAATAAATTAGTAATTTTGAATGGTCATAAGTTTTTTGTTATGTGTTTTTGTTTTTTAGGTGTTACTTTTCCTAGAAAGAAATTTTAGGGTCGTATTCCAGAACTCTACTCAATGCTCAAGTCAGGATCTGTGTATGATTTCAAGCACTAGATGTACGACCCTATTGGCAGGGACTTGAGCATGATTTCGAGTGCTTTAAACCATACTCAAATCCTGACTTGAGCATTGAGTAGAGTTCTAGAATACCACCCTAAGGGTCGTATTCTAAAACTCTACTCAATGCTCAAGTCAGGATTGCAATTGAAACACAAGCACTGGAAATACGACCCTAATGGCAGGGACTTGAGTATGATTTCGAGTGCTTTAAACCATACTCAAATCCCGACTTGAGCATTGAGTAGAGCTCTAGAATACGACCCTAAGTGTCCTAAATGTGGTTTATCAATGATGCATTTGAATTTTATATGCATAACCCATCAGCAGAAAAGAAAAAAGCTAATTGTATAACTTGACACTTTTGAACGCCATGTGGAAGTATCATGAGGGACGGCTGACCCGTTAACAGATCGAACACATGATCAAATCTTTTTTGTACTTTAAATTTATGATGATATAGGAAATGAAATTATTTTTTAGGATTTAAATCGATTATGGATTTAAATAGTTGCGGGCCCTTTACAGGTCCCATGGTCACAGTTAACCGTTGAGTCAACTGTGACCATGGGACCTGTAAAGGGCCCAATACGTCGGTTTGTTTGAAAAAACAAATATACGCGATTTAAATCCGGAAAAATAGTTTCATTTCCTATGTGTAATAATCGCGAAAACTTAAGAACTCGTTATGATGACATTACATAACACCAATTTGAAATTTCTTATTGAATAGAATTGAGATTATTTAATGAGTAAATCAACTTACGCCTTGTGAGATGATCATAGCCAAAATAAGCAAAGGTCAGCTTGCTGCTAACATAACTACTCAATATAAAATTTCTTTGCAGTGTAGAGCTCCTTGTGAAAGAGTTCGTCCAGGTTAGTACTACCACCTTACCTATTTATGCCGCCAAACAGTAATATCAGCATTACTGTGTTCCGGTTTTGTAAGGGTACTGGTGAAATTACAGGCACATTGGACTTGTCAAATTATGTGTCAGGGTGACGGGCGCAGTGGTAGTCCCCCTCAGATCTTTGCAATTTAAAGCTCTGAGTGGCTATGTTGCTGTTATGGACAGGCGCGTAGCTTACCACGAAACGGTAATTAGATCTCATACCGTAGGCATAAAATATTTGTGTCTTAATAACTCGAAAACTACTCCGTCTATTCTAATGCCATTTATATATATTGATAGTCTTGCTTAAAATTTTCATATTTCAATGTTATTAGGTATAATAGGCTAGAAAAAATAATAGCTACGGTAATTCGGCTGAGAACACCGAATGTGAGATTGGCCGTTTTAATCTTTTATTTTAGACTGTTTTCACGATTTTATATAATCGGATAAAGTGCATTCTATGGCACATTATATACACATTAGCACATTCTTTAGACAATATCATTATATGTATTGTATATTTTTCGTAAGACCGTTATTTATTATTAAATAACTAAACTATTTGATTGAGCAAAACAAGTTTTCCCGCTTCCTCTCCGGTGACACGCCTTATATAATTTAATAGGTACTTGCACATCTACCTGTTACCCCGTCATTTTACAATAGGTACGTCGCTAAATTGTGATACAGCGCCATTTATTGATTGCGTTAGAAAGTAACTATGAAGCGCCTATTATTTATTTTATTATTAAAAAATAAGTGCGCATTTCCATCCATCTCACCTGATTGAATATGACGATTAACTCGACAATGGCGCTTGTACACAGTGTTGCCAGATTAGGCGATTTTTCGCCATTTAGGCTACTACTACTACTAGAATATTTATGCTATGTTTGAAATAGGAAAAGGCGATTTTAGGCTACTTAATAAAATGTCTGGGGAATTACAAATTTGATTGGGGATTTTGTGGGGAATGGATGTCCGGCAACAAGGAGAATTGTAGAATTGTTTTCCTAGATTTTTAGGGATTTTATGGCTTGGGCGAATATCGGCTACTTAACACACATAAATTGGCGAATTAATTAAAGTCTGGCAACACTGGTGGTATACCTAAATAATGCCTATTCATTCTCGCCTTGCAAAGGACCATGTTACACCGTTTAGGGAATAAGTCTGCAGGCAAGGAATTCCACACCATAACCGTCCTTACACCATCATCTCACCTCTGTATCGCCTCTCTCCGCTTGTATCCTATCATTTTTTTTATTTTACATGTATTTAAATTTTAAATGAATTCTTGGAATATTCAGAATATTCAACTGAAATTGTCATTTGCGATGTATAAATTAAAACAAATCACAAATTTTAAATTTTTATTGTATTGATATTCAATTATTTTTTATGAAATTACTCCACTAGTTTGTTATAATTAGACTTGAATTAGAGTAGACTAAAAAGTCGTTGAAAAACCAAATACAAAGACACGACGCAAGCACATAGAAAAATTCGTGACGTCCGCTGGTTCGTTCCGTGGCTTAGTTGGTATATAGCGTCTGCCACGGTAAGCTAGAAGACGTCGGTTCGAATCCGGCTGGATCGAAGGATTTTTTCTGAGTGTTCGATCTTTGTATTCATAATTAAATCACAAATTACTTGTTTGGAATTGGATCCTTGGCGACAACAGGACTTTCATGCATATATCGACGATAGTGTATTAACTCAAGAAGTGTATTTTTTCAGAATCGATGTAAAACGAATTACTCACTTCCGGTGAAAAATTACTAAAATTTATGTATGTGTTGCAGTTTATTACAGACATCTAAACAATTTCTTGCTTGCCAAATATATTTAAAAATTAAATTGAAACAATAACTTCATGTTCTTGAGTATGGATTGTTTTGCCCAGAATTAGCTCACAAAAATTTTGTCTTATTTTGAGTTAAGTAGATATTTTTTTATTATTTCATACAATATTCTAACGACGGTTTTATTCACCTGTAGAGAATCAAATTTCGTGTTCAGCAATAGTATAGTATAATCTTGAGTTTCACATATTTTGAGTTACGATACTATTGTAATAGCACGATATGTGTCACACGAATTATCTGGTCTCAACTGCCACGCAGAGGTTTCGGGTTTGTTTCTCGGGCCGGGAGAAATATTTGTGTGGCTACATTTGTCTATCTCTCGTAAGTTTCAGTCCTTTACCAAATGCTGATTAATCTGTTGGAGTTACGATAATATTATTAAATATTTTTTTTACAAACAAGTGTTTTACATGTTTAACCGATAACAACTATCGATTTGAGCTGACATTGAAGATTGTCCAAAACTCAAACGGCTGCCACACAACTCTGATTTTACATATCGCGGTGCTCTTCAAGGATAGTGGCCAAGATCAATATAACGTTTACTTTTTACACTTTTTGGATTCGTACACTTATTCACTGTTTATATTTTATTTTGAATACCAACTAAGTATGTCGACATTTCTAGTAATTGACATTATCACGTGGTAGCATTGGGTCAGTATAATAATTCTCCGCTTTGCACGACAGACATGCCTTAGTATTTTTAAAGATCTTCTTAAGTAGGTGCTTTTGAGACGGATTAATATTCTAGAAAGCATTAATAAATATCCCGGAATTATTATTATTAATACGTTATCAAATAGAGGAAAGGCAGTTTTTTTATAATACTATGTGACGGGACAAACAAGTCGTGCGCCTTGTAGTAAAGGACACGCCTATCCATAACAGTTGCAATGCCACTCAGAGCTTTAAATCGCAAATATCGAAACATGAAACATACATTGACAAGTCTCATGTGCTTGTAACTTCACCAGCATCCTTACCCTTCAAATCCGGAGTGCAATAATGGTCGCATTACTGCTTGGCGGCAGAAATAGGGACGGTGGCAGTATTTCCCTGGACGAACTTTTTCACAAGGAGCTGGGGGCCTACCATAACCTTTCCAAAAACAATCTTATTTCAATGTAAGCATAAAGTAAGCTTATTGTAATATTACTCATTTTCGTACCATGACAAACCTATCAACCAAGTAATGTATTATTGCTAAAGTGACTGAAAGAACGAATGATTTCCCAATATTGTCCATTCCTTACTAAAAGTGGGAAAGAAATAACGCTGTATGAACTGTATAATGCCATCTCTTTCTTTTGTGATGTTCCGAATCGTGTTATCGTAGTAAGTAAAGTACTTAATATTATTTACATTCAGAGAATTTTAACTGCCAAGAAAAGAAAAGTATGTAATAATGAAATCTATTAAAATAACGCTGTTTTCAATTATTATTCCGCATTTTCATGAAGAAAAATAAATAAAACAATCTATCTTGATAGTCACGTTGTGAATTAGGAACCATAGTCCAGTGTCAACTGTTAGTTTCGTCAAAGAGCATATAGATGGCGCTGTCATAATTTTACGAAATAAACATCGCGTATTTTTATTTTACGAGAAATTATTTCCTATGTGCTATTAAATAAAAAATAAACAAAATATTGAACAGATTATGTAATATATATAAAATTGATATATGTAAATAAATAAGTTCAACTTTTATTCATTACAAATCAATATTAAGACAATAAAATTGAAAATAATATTGTTTCCATTGAATCCGTGTAACTATTTTGAGAGCTAAATATGACATAAGAGCAATATTACTGTTCAGGAACGACGCTCTTCGATCCTCTGCTTTATTCTTCCTTCGATAATAAAACTCCTTAATTTAAAGTGGACTGTATATTCAAATAAAAATGTCGATCTGGCTTACAAAACAAGACAAGTGATTCCAAGAGTGATGAAAAGTGATTGCAAAGAGATTCAAAAAGTGATTGATTACAAACTAAAATTTGCTTATATTTATACCGGCACGATGTCTCCCACATCGTACCGGTCCTATCAATGGGTCGCTACGCCGCTCGGCCAATCAGAGCTCTCGAATTAATCATTCTGTTCTGGACTCTAGCTCTGACCGGCCAGGCGCGTACGGCCGTCCGTAACAATTACTTTAATTTTTTTATTTATTTATTTGTTTATAAAGCATTGGCTTCAGAGCCATCAGCTTAGTGGTAACAAATAATCAAGAAATGCACAACGTAATATACATAAACTGAAAATTAATTCGTGTAAAAAATGTAAACATTCAAAATAAAAATGAAACAACTTTCGTAACCTATCGTAAGTTGAAGTTTGTGCAATATTACTTAAAATGTCAAAGTCGCGTCACAGTATGAACTGAGTGAATGAATAGTCACAAAGCTGCCAATAAAACATCATAGTTTTAACATTACAAAAATAAGCTTACTTTAAGCGCGTTATGGTACGAAAAGTCAATGTAAGGTTAAAGTAATATTGTTTTAAGAGGTTGTGGTAGGCCCCCTGTACTGCTACAATGTACGTTTACATAATTTTGCATAACGACGCAATTAGGCGAGAATTTAAGTATTATGTTATCTGTTTTCTTAATAGTTATCTGCTCCCTGTGGCGATGAACTCCCGCAAAATAACAAAATGGTAGATAACATACCACTTGTAGCAAATGTATGTTATCTTACCAAAAAAATACGTTTGTAAAAAATATGTATAGATAATATTTTATAAATTTACTTATTATTTATCAGGCTCATGTAGTCAGGACGTGTCAAACTCTCGTTTTCTTGTCGTTTAATACGAGTATTAGTCAACCAGACAAATCATGAATAGTATTAAACATTTTCCTTTTGACATAAAGGATGTCGACTCGGAAACAACAGCGAAACTCTGTAAATATTTTTCAGGTAAGTGTTTTATTTATTATTATCTCTATTTAGTATTTTTTCCATCCTTTATGCTATTCACTCACACTATAGTTTGTTTTGTTCTTAATTATTATTATTGTTTTGGCGAGGTACTACCACTACAAAATGCTTTAAAACTTTAAACAAAAAGAACTTTTTTCCTTAAAAATGTCATATTGTCTATGGTAATTTTAAAAATTGAAAGGGAAAGTTTTATTTAGTAAAGTTCATGACGCGCACAAGGTGAACTGTAAAAGGTGTCGTATTTCGTCATGATAACGCCAAACCATACACATCTTTACAAAGCCATTAAAACTATTGCAGACAGTTGAGACAGGTTGTTTATATACAAATGTAAAAGGACTTCATGATAGTTCGATCTATTTTTGGGTATAAATCATACGATAATTACTTCAGAACATAAAGAACCCGCCGAATGCCTCGGTTTAGGCAGATTGCAGGAATAAGAGGAGAAGAAACAGTTTTAGTTACTGCCTGTACCTCTTTTCTAGAATCACCCAAAAAACTATTCTAGCGAAGCTCCCAAAATATACATACAAAAAAGATGATGTTTTACGATAGATTATCTACACTTTATCAATAAGACATATTGCTTTTTCAGGGGAAAGTGCTTACGTTCGGATTGGTCCCAAACAGTATTTCATGCCGCGAAGTTACAAAGAAGAGGCGGCTAACATTTACAACATGTCTGTAAGAAGCGATGACATTTTCATTGTCACTTATCCACGTACAGGTGAATTTTATTGCATAAGTAATTATACATTATTGGCCTTCTTACAAAGGATGGTATAATAGTCCATATTAAAGAGAGTTTACATAATTTTGCATTATGACGCAATTAGGCGAGAATTTAAGTAGTATGTTAGAACTAGCTAATGTAACTACGTAGCCTGATTAGAACCGACGTCTTCTAGCATACCAACTAAGCCACGGAACGAACCAGCGGATCTCACGAATTTTTCTATGTGCTTGCGTCGTATTTTGTTTTTCAACGATTTCTTATCGTAGCGCCGTCTATGAGAAATCTATGATATTCGTCACCCAGTTAGATACCTTTACAGCTACCAGCCCCGGCTACCGATGTCGCTGTTCATTGTATTT